ATTTTGCACATCATCTGCTAGATGGGTAAGGTAATGCATATTCATTATTTGACATTGTTTTCCATAATAGTATCTAGCTAACTGGACAAAATGTTGTAAATATTTTTTAGCTTGAGTATTGAATTTTAAAGCTAAGTTATTTGAGCATAATATTCTGCAAGCAACGTGAAATAAAAGAAAATGATTATATAATTTTTTTGGTAAAATGTTTTTTAGAACTATTGGACCACAATATAATAAGAAAAATCTAAACTCAGTTGCTTTCCATTTTGCAACTTCAAATACAGATCGGGTAGAACGTTGAAAATCTGCAGATATTTGAGAATTTAGTTGCATTAATCGTTCCGAAAGATGCATTTTATTATTATAACTTAATTTTGTTGACAAATTTCCCTTCAACCAAAACTCCATAAGCATTTTTTTCATTATGCCTAAGCAGCAAAGATGCATAAAATCTAAAACAAAGTGACATATCATATCAATTTTCGGATTTATAAGTGTCAAAGGTGATAATCCAGTATGGTGTTCAGAGTTTTGTTTTTCTCTGAAAGATTGGTCAGTTCTTTCCTTGCAAATGTTGCTATAAATTGTTCTTTTTTCATATCGTGTTCCGCGCACGTCGCATCGCTCACATGCATAAAACCCCCCATGACTTTTTATACACTTAATAAATGATCGGGCAGGCCTGTCGCACACAAAACACATGATACAAACTTTAAATAATTTCCCATCTATTACTATGCCATTAAGCAGTAATTCATTTATTTCAACAATAAATTTATCAAAATACGCGATCAAATCATTAGGTTTTTGTTTTCCTGCATATACAGCTATCGGAAACGGTTTGTATATTTCTGGTACAAAATGTACTTGTCCTAATATTGGCCAGAACTGTTGCAAGCTTGAATTATACAGAGGAAGACCATCAATGTTTATTTTTAGATATAAAATCTCGGTTTTATGTAATTCAGAATTGACGGTTACTTCAAGATGTTTGGCGATACCAAAGTATACAAATTCTCCTACATTACATCCGTTATTATCATTAAATTTTATAATATTATATTCAGCAGATTTTGTTTTTAGAAATGTTTTTGCAGTTGCAGGTAAATGTGGAAGTAATCTTTTTTGAAGAATTTGAAGTAGTGAATCTAATTTTGTGTGCGGGATATTCGACTTAATCGCCCACTCTCGAAGTTGCACAATTTCGTCAAATTCTTCATCGTCACTTAACGAACTATAGTCGAAATCGTTTACTTCATCGATATTAGTTTCGTCGTTAGGGCTTACATAATTATCTTCAATGCTTTCGACTTCATCCTCGAATACGTCATTTAATTCTTCAAACTCAGTGAATGACTGTTCAAGCTCTCCGTCTGTATTATTTCTTTCTAAATTATTATTCTCCTGTTCCGGTAATGCATTTTCATTCGCAATAGTCCTAATGTTCATTTGTAAACTCTCTTGTTCTATTAACCTCGGCGAAATTGCATTATCTGTCGAAAAAAATTATTTGTTTTTATATATTTAAATAATTCTTTTTTCTTGTATATGTGTATAAATGAGTGTCTGCAGTATAATTGGTTCTCAATCTCAAACAGAAATATAATTAAAACATATGCTAAAAACATATCTGTCATATATGTAATATTACTATAATATTACTATAGATTGCTAATCATCAATGTATCTTTCTAATTTGCGGTATGCAGACTGAGAAAACGAGATAGAAAATACAATATATGTATATATGTATAGATGTAAAGTGCTTTGAACGTATATGCGCATATGTATTGACGTATAGAGGCAATAGAGGTTAATATAAAAAGTTTGGTTATAATATTAAAATTTACTGAATTAATATTATAATAAGAAAAAATATATAAATAATAGAAAAATTGACTTCCAAATGTTTTTATTCTACACACGAATGACACAAATGTAAATATACAATTTTATTAGATTTTATATGCGATATCGTATATCTGTCCAATAATATTTTCGGCAGCGTTTCAGCTAGCAATATAGTAGTATTACATATATGATATCTATATATCTATGTAAAGTATATTAATAGAAGAGCTGTAATACTGATTTTTATTTACGCGATTTTAAATAAATTAAAATAAAATTACATTTTTATTGCATACCTGCAATATTAAGAAATTTTTCTACATCAATTTGGCGGCGAACTTTACGATGTCTATCTACTCTTCGCCGTGTTAATTCTTGTTTTCTTCTTTTACTTTCCATGATTAATTACAATTATAAACCTTATATATCTTTTTAAGAAGAAAGTCAAACTCGACTAAAAACGCAATTTGCTTGTTTCGTCCAAGAACGTTTTAGTTTTTAGCGAAACAAAACACAATTACAAATAAATAGTGTTTCCATGATGACAACACGGGATGTGTGAGCGTATACTTCTTTCTAGAATAAACTATTTCGGAATTATAAATATTTCATCTTGCATTCGAATAAAATTCTTCAATTTTAAATCAAAATGTTTAAATATCTTGAAAGTAAAACCTATACTATATTAAAACTGACAATTTACAACGTTAAAAATATTACAAAATATATATGTATAATGTGTATGTTATGTAATCAATACATAGATTATGAAACAGATATAAAATATTATATTCAAAATGTTAATTAACTATTTTTTTTTTATTTTTTTTTATTTTTACTTTTTTTTAACCTAAATAAATATAGTCAAGGTTTTCACTGAAAATGTTAAATTTAATTTAATCGGTAAATAATACAAATATTTTTATATAACTAACCGAGAAATTTAACAGATGATACAAGCCAATGCGCTCGATGTTATGCGGAATAAATATATATATAAATATATATTTATATTTTTTTAGAAGTGTAAAATTTTTACACTTTATATTTCGAATTGAAATTTCAATTTGTAAATTTATATAGGATATGCTATACTTGCATCACATATACATGAGAATATCCATTTTTTCTTCCCAACTAATTTAGAAATATTGCGAAAAAAACACCTCGGCCAGGAGTCGAACCTGGAATCTCCCGCTTCCGTGCGATCGCCTTTTCCAATTCGGCCACCAAGATTTTTTTTTTCGCAATGTAATTTTTAATTTAGTTGGGAAAGGAAGATGAGTATTTTCATATATGTGATGCAAGAGTAACATTCTGTATAAATTTACGAATTAAAATTTCAATTTGAACAATTAATCATATAAGTGTAAAAATATGAATTACAAGCACATAAGGTATGCCTTAATCTAGCCTAGTCTGGCGCAAATCCGGCATTCCTTAGTAGGGCTTGCGTGCGTATTCCCTGATCAGGCGTAAATCAGGCTTTCCATAATAGGCGAAATTCAGACATTCCTTAGTAGGGCACAAGTCAGGCGTTCCTTAGTAGGGCGTGCCTGCGCGTTCCCTGATCAAGTGCAAATCGGGCTTTTCTTAATAGGGCGAAATTCAGGCATTCCTTAGTAGGGCACAAGTCAGGCGTTCCTTAGTAGGGCGTGCCTGCGCGTTCCATGATCAGGTGCAAGTCGGACTTTCCTTAATAGGGCGAAATTCAGGCATTCCTTAGTAAGGGACAAGTCAGGCGTTCCTTAGTAGGGCGTGCCTGCGCGTTCCCTGATCAGATTCAAGTCGGGCTATATCTTGGTAGGGCATGCCTAAGTTTTCCCTAATCAGGCCAGCATCAGGGATTCCTAAATAGGACATACCGGAATGCTCCCTGATCAGGGCCACATAATACGTCAGGTTTGCCGGATCCAATTTCTAGCCGGGACGTTTCAAGTTCGCGAGAAAACGATGAAGAATTTGCGACACTTTTTTCGTAAACAAACAACTTTTGTACAAAGTGCGAAGAACTTGTTACGTGAACAATTGCACAATTGTTTCTCATACCTGTCCGGCGATAAGCTCGCCAATGTAGCAAAAGATAAAAATATTAAACATAAAGGACATGTATAAAATGATATACGTTATAATATTAGTTTTATTGTCCCATTCCTATAACGTAAAAGTTACCATTTTATGAACAGATTACACGTATATGAATTGCTATAAAATTACTATTGCGTCAGATTTGTATTTCAATAAAGCGATGCTTCGCGGGGATTATTCATTCCACGAATAATGCGTACCATGATAGTGTAATATCCAAGAAGACACATGTTCAAAGTGCACCCAATAATTTCCACGGCGGATATTTCGCGCATCAGTGTGTCCGTCAACGATATGAAACTGTGCAATAAACGTCACGGTCTCAGGTATTGAAAAAGCGGAGTCATGTCAGAAATGTCAAATAGGATTGAAAAAAATTTCGAATCACCGTAAAATTCTCACGTGTTGCTGCACGATCATCGTCAATCTCTCATCTACGTTGTCGCACAGATCCTCCCGTCCGTCCACGAGATGTTCGATCCACTCCATCAGAACTTCCAGACGGCCGCAAGCGTGCATCGCAAACGCGGCGGCCAGGCTGCAGGCGCCGGCCGTGATGGAGTGCGCGATGAAACCCGCCAGGCACTGGACCCAGAAAAAGATCTCGCTGACGGGACTGTATCGCGCGTCAGCGATTATCCGGGCAACCGGAAACAGAAGCGGCCGATACGTCAAGTTCAGGTCGGCGTCCTTTATCTTGCCGTTGCTGAACGGCAAAGCGAGGTAGTAAAAGACGGCGCCGCCGTACATGAAGAATGCGCAGATCGTGACAAGACGCCGGCCGAACTTCGCATTCCTGATCATGATCATTCGATCGCCGTAATATCGCGTGTTCGTCCAATCGTCCTCGATATGTCGAAGGCCGCTGCAGATGTAACTTTCGCGGCAGATCAGCGACGAATATTTCGCGATCGTCATCAGACAGAAGCTCAGCGGTCCGGTGAGTTTAATGGTGTTGTACGTACCCTCGATTTCAACCGCCATAAAGACGACGGACGGTACGAGAAGAAAACAGATCAGACACAGGCAAACTACGTTCACCGTCACGTATATAAATTTCTTTAACCGCGAAAGGTCGGCTGACTTCGGCCAAACACCGAGCGGTTTCAGCAGCCAACGATTTAACTGTATGCTCAGCTTCACGTTTTCTTCATGGTCGTAAGCGACAGGACTCGACTTTAGCATGAAAGTTCGACGCATTGTCGCAAGAGAGCTCAGGAGCACAAATGGAAGGATCGTGCGAAGACTCGGATGCGAAATGATGAGTGCGACTGCGCGATGTTGTTGGAAAACTTCGCTTCTTCGAGGAGGAAGTGGTCAAGCGATCGTGTGCAGTCAGAAGGGTGCATTTTATAGTCATATCGATTGTCGCGAGAAAAAAAGAAGAGATTTGATTTTCCCTCGCGTGATGTGTGTCTGTGACTTTTCTGAGGACGCATATACGCAGTTTGCATTTTCCGCCACGGATGTATTTTCGCAAGCAGTCGGTAAGAATCGCGAAAAGAGTTCTCTTCGACATAAAATAGTTTTACTAGATTTATATACAAATTTTTATTAAACACAATATTTACATTGTTAAAGTTCGAAGCATATTCAAATATGTGACAGATGTTTTAATCACCTGAAATATTTGTTTTTTTTTATAAATAAGTAATGTTTACGTATACATTTGTGCTGTGTGCACAAAAATCACATTTATATCTTTACAATACTCACAGTACCGAAAGTTGGAATGGACATATGAAATATTTTTCCGGCTGTGATTTTGATAACGATTCTCGATCGCACAATTATTAAAAGTAGATCGAGAGCGGTTTTATGCGGCAGAGAATACCAATTCGTCATGTAAACTGCTTCGCCAACTTTTTTACACTGTCGTGATTTATTGATACAAATGATATTTCTGATAAAATGTCAGAAAACAAAAAACTCACATATTGAAGATATAATTGCTTTACCTGATCCGTTACGAGTTCACCGATAAAGCAGAATATAAAAATATTGAACATCATCGCCGTTAATATCATGACATATGTTATTATGGTGTTTGTACTTTCCTCTTGCCATTCCTGAAAGACACGGTACAGAAAATGACGACGTGTGCGATCAAAAGTAAAATTGAAAAAAAAAAAAAAAAATAACGATACGCGATTTTTATGCATATTCACCTTTTTGAAAGTTTTAGCATACCGTAATGGTGTAATATCCTAGCATGCACAAGTTGAACGTACATCCGACCAACTCCACAAAGCATATCTGATTCATAATTGTCTCCATATGTGAGAGAAACCTGAAATTGAGATAACAACAATCAACATTCTCATCTGTATATCGACAATAATGCGTGCGCTAATATGTAACATTATTTTATATTTGTGCTGAAGTATTCCAACGTTTTAACACATGGGAAAAAATGGAGTTGCTTCAAGTAAGGTCGATATTATTATTGTTTATTAACAGTTGTATAATTAATTTTGTCTCTAGGTGTATATTGAAAGAGAATCTCTGGTACCTCAACGCTCGCAGATGTCGCGCGACAATTCTCGCCAGTCGCAGCTGAAGGATCTCTCGTTTCTCGTCGACGAGCTCTTCGAGACGCATTATCACCACGTTGAGCTGACCGGAGGCGTGCATCGCAAAAACTGCGGCAAGGCCGCACGCGCCGATCGTGATGTTGTTCACCACAATGGTGGAAAGAATTTGCAGCGCAAGCACCACTTCGTACACCGGACTGAATCTGGTGTCTACGATCTTGTTGAAAGCCGGACACGGTAATCGACCTATCGCGATCGTCTCGTTGCCGATTACCACTATTATCGGCGACATTCCTCTCGCTATGTTGTAACAGATAACACCACCTTGCATAATCAACGCGCAAACGCCCGCTATGACGCGCCCGACTCGGGCATTTCTCAGCATCACCTTCCGATCGTGCTCCTTCTTCGTCGTGCGCCAATCGGTTTCCATGTGCTCGATAGATCTGCGTATTCGGTCGCCATGATGCAGCAGCGAGCAGTAATTGATGCCGCCCATCAGACAGTGACTCGTCGGTCCGATCGCTTTGAGCTTCAACCGGAAGTCCTTCGCCTCGAAGAATACGTACAGTATAGAAGGCACCACGGTGATTGCTATTAACAAATGACACGTTACTTTCAGGATTGTCATTAAAACGTTTCTGCTGATCGAATTCGACGGCAATTCCGGCCAGGCGCCGATCGGCTTCAAGAACCAGCGATTCAACTGAAGACTGTAATCGGCGTCGCGTTTGTAAACGTCCACCGTGGACGCACGTGAGATTTGCTTCATGCTTGATTCGCGATAGTTCCGTCGGATACTGATTCATTGCCACCGCTCGCGTTTTGTCAACGAAGTAGTACTTCAACCAGCGTCTGCGCGGACACGCGCGAGACAGAGAAAAAAATGTACGGTCTGACCTGAGACAGCACGTAATCGATACTTGTAGTTACTCCGACCTGTTGCGTCAAATCGCAGCGTATTGTTGCGCGCAATAAATCTGATTACAACATATAAATACAATTGGTTGAATGCGGTGACGACAAGTCACTTAACGATAACGTTTTAACGGTTGTCGTTTTTTGGAAGAATAAAAAGTTATGTGCATCGCATTTTGTTAAACAAGATGAAGTATCTATTATATAATAGACTTTCATGAAAGGTATATAAAAAAATACGCTAATTTATATAATGAGAATCAAATGACTTTACGTATTGATTATTAACAAATCGAATTTATACAATGGATTTGTTTTTATTATAACTGTTATGTTCAAAATATTATTATTTAGTCTTTGTTACATCGTTACTGTTCTGAGTATATTTAAATATACAAACGCCGTTTTCATCACCTGAAATAATTACGTAAATATTGAGTTGTAATTACTGAAAGTACGAGACGTAACAAACTTTGTGAAAAATTGTGAATATAAACTTGTCTTAAAATGTTTTGTTCTTTATATTGCAAGTTGCTAATTTTCATCAAACGGACTTACATCTCCGAAAGTCGCAATAGAGAGTTGAATCATTTTGCCGGCGGTTATTTTGATGACGGCGTTCGATCGCGAGATTATCAGAATCAAGCCAAGCGCTATTTTGTGATGTAATCGGTACCACTTCGTCATGTACGCCATTTCGCCTATTTTTTGACACTGTACAAACACTGATTTGTTCTGTGCTTCTGTGGCGGGTCACATATATTATTTGAATGTGTTATAAACAGAGAACAATAAAAAAAAAAAAAGACTTATGTAAGTACACAATGCAGCTACCTGATCCGTGAGAATTTCGGCAATGTAACAATATATAAAAATGTTGCCCGACTTGGCGACGAATATAGTAAAATACGTAAGCAAAGTTTTGATATCGTGCAGATACCATTCCTATAAATAACAATACGTATATGCGAAAAATATAAAAATATAAAAACACTATGAAGATAACAAATCTAGATACGATAATTTTAATATTGCATTGACGTTTAAAAACAAATAAAATCAAACAAAATGTATATTACATGCATTTCGCACTAATTGAGACTCTTTAGTGTAAGACTTTACCGTGATCGTGTAATATCCGAGCAAGCATATGTCTGTTGTGCAACACCACAATTCGACGAGACAAATCTGATGCATAATCGCTTCTATCTGCGATACAAAACTGAAAATAAAAACCGATAAAAATCTTGTTCTCCTGAAAGATGATAACAGAGCATTGTGATACGACTCGCTATCAACACGTCGTTTCGGATATTTATCAATCATTCCACGTACCTTAGCACACGTAGATGATGCTCTACAATAAAGGCCAGCTTCTGATGCGTGATCTCGCGCTTGTCTTCTGCCCCTTCAACGAGTTCGTCCAGTCTTATCATTAAAATACTCAGCTGGCCGCAGGCGTGAGTGGCGAAGACCGCGGCGAGACTGCACGCGCCCACCGTGACGGAGTTCACAATAACGGCCGAAAGCAACTGCAGACAGACTACGATCTCGTTCGCCGGACTGTATCGAGCGTCCACGAATTTGATATAGAACGGACACGGCAGCTGGTGCGTCGTTATGGTGATGTTGTCGATCTGAATGACCACCGGTGTTATAGCGGTTACGATGCTGTACGAGCACACGCCGCCTTGCATGAAAATCGCGCAGAAGCTGGATATGAATCTGCCGAACTTGGCGTTACGCAGCATCACCTCGCGGTCGCGCGTTCTCTCCACGACCCGCCAGTCGTCGCGCATGTGATCCACACACTTGCGTATATCGTAGCTGTGCAGCAACAACGAGCAGTAGTTCACGCCGCTTATCAGCCAGTGTATCATGGGACCAAAGGCCTTCAGCTTCAATTGCACGTCCGGTTCGCGCATAATGTAGAGCGCGCAAGGTATCAACGTGATGACGATCAGGGAGTAGCAGACGAATTGAATACAGCGCGACAGTATTCTGTCGATCACGCTGGTCGTCGCGCCGGGCCAGGCACCGAGAGGCTTGAGAAACCAGCGATTCAGCTGAATGCTGTAATCGCTGTCGCGCTCGTACGCGATGTTGTGCGTCGGAAACGCGCGAAAGGAGTGCAACATGATCAAACCTCCCGCGGATTATCGAGCGTCAATGTTGCAACAGAAGAAAAACAGCAGGCTCGTTCTCAGGACCTGCGCGTTTTTCTGAACGTTTTTCAATGAGTATAGTTGGTTCGAAAGAACAAGCACATCGAGGTTTTTTTTCGAAGGGCTAGAAGCGATCGATAAAATACAACTTGTGCGAGCACATATTACTGATTAATCTGCGCACGTTGTACGTCTTACGTTGTTGCTCGATAAGCCCGATGGAGATGTGATTGCGCAGACTGCGATATAACGTCGGTACGTCATAAGTGATCAGAGAAAAATTTACAAAAAAAAAAGATACGAGAGAGTTAAAGTAATCAAAGATTTCGAACAGATTTGTTTTAGTAAATAAGATTTCTATTTATTAAAACTGTAAGACTTTTCTTATATTTCTTTATATACATATATGTAATCAACTATGTATTTAATTGACATTTATGCATTCAACATACGCATCAATAATCTTTTAGACAATAAAATTGTCTTTAAGAAGTTAATGTGCGTAACATGTTCAAATAGGCGACCGACGTTTTGACAACCTATCGATTGAATGAACAGCATGTAATTCGCGCTGTTTGCGAACAAATTGAGACATTTGCGTGATACATGTACTCACGTCGCCGAAAGTGCCGAGAGACAGCTCGAAGAGATTTCCTGCCGTTAATTTGACCGACGAATTAGACATGGCGATCATCAGTATGAGAGCGAGACCTTTTCTTTCTGGTAGACGATGCCAGTCGATCAAGTACGATACGTCGCCGATTTTTCTGCACTATTCACAGAATTTTTTCTTCAGTTGTATGTGTTTTTCTTAATACAAATATTTTTGCGCTTACATATCACAGAATTCCTTTGTGAAAACAGATACATCGAATTTAAACTGTACACAAAAAAAAAAAATCGGAATAATTATTAAATCCAGAGAAAAGTAAGGAAGCATAATTAATTTTTCCTCTCGTGTGTGCAAATGTGCAAATAACACATGCAATCGGTGCGGCAAAAGTTTAGACGACTGCGTTTTATACCTGCTCGGCGACAAGCTCACCAATATAACAAAATATGAAAATATTGAATGTGAGGGATATAAGCAGAACAGTGTAAGTTATGTAACTCGCAGGCTCTTTGCTCTCCCATTCCTGTCAAAAACGATTCCTGTATTCGACAACAGCGCGTCGCGTGGGTGTCGCTTTATGTATGTAATAGGTTACATGAGAACAATGTTACGGTACGTACTTGTTGTACGCGATATGCGTACCGTGATAGTATAATATCCGAGAAAACACATGTTTAACGTACATCCCACAATTTCCACCATAGATATTTCACGCAGCACTCTATCTGTTAATTCTATAAAACTGCAAGATAACAAACCGCATCTATTATCGCTATAACAAACACTACATATATTATATAAAACTCAATTATATTTTTTATTTAGTTTCAAAACACAAAAAAATTAAATCTTGGGTGATTTTTGATCCGAGTTTCGCGCAGTTATATCGAAGCGTCGTCGGTTTTGCCCATGGGGGCAAGGAACGACTTACCGTAAAATTCTCACGTGTTGCTGCACGATCATCGTCAATCTCTCATCTACGGTGTCGTACAGATCCTCCCGTCCGTCTACCAGATGTTCGATCCACCGCATCAGAACCTCCATACGGCCGTAAGCGTGCATCGCGAACACGGCGGCCAGGCTGCAAGCGCCGGTTGTGATGGAGTGCGCGATGAAACCCGATAGACACTGCGTCCAGAAGAAGATCTCGCTGACGGGACTGTGCCGCGCGTCCACGATCGTTCGTGCGACCGGGTACACCAGCGGCCGATACGTCAGGTTCAGGTCAATCTCTGTGACCGTGCCGTTGCCGAACGGCATAGCGAGGTAATAAAATACGGCGCCGCCGTACATGAAGAACGCGCAGATCGCCACAAGACGTCGGCCGAACTTTGCGTTTCTGATCATTATGTTCTGATCGTCGTAATGTCGCGTATTCATCCAGTCGCTCTCGATGTGTTCGATGCCTCTGCGAATGTCGTTCTCGCGAAAGATCAACGAGGAATACTTGACGATGGCCATCAGACAGAAGCTCAGCGGACCGGAGAGTTTCAGGGTGTTGTACGTGTCCTCGACTTCGAGCGCGATGTAGACGGCGCAGGGAATAAAGAGGAAACCGATCAGTCCCGTGCAAATTACATTTATTAACGCGCACGCGTATTTTTCTATACATGTGGTTTTCACCGATTTCGGCCAGACGCCGATCGGTTTCAGCAGCCAGCGATTTAGCTGGATGCTCAGTTGCGTGTGCTTCTTGTGATCATAGACGGGAGAAAGGTTGATCTTACGCGATGGGATTCCGTACATCGTTGAAGCGCGAGAGTTCGACGGCTACTGACAAACAGGATCACGCGAGGGTGGAAAGTCAGACGTCGCGGCTGCGCCGTTCCAAGTAACTTTTCCCTTCCAGATGAAAAAAAAAAAAATGATATTGCAAGGATAGGGTAAACTTTACAGACCGTACGGTCTTTGCAACTTCCGCGAGAGGGTAATTCTCTTTCTCTCGCGAAAAACCTGTTACTTTCCGCTCATGAATTATGATCGCGCCAGTCTGCATACTTTGCAAGAGCGTGTCTTCCGCGAATAATCGGAAATGGTCGCGTGCGCGCGGTTTTACTGCGTGAAGTGTGACAGTATAATATAACGCATTTGTATGTACAACATTTACATATGCGTAGAGAAGTAAAAATAAAGTAAATATTATTGCGTTTCATAAGAGCCCGTTGCGAGAATCGGAATAAGAAATGGATGAAGTTTCCATTGTTGCCATACGAACGATATAATACGATATTGAGAGTCGATGCGTATTCGCGCTCGTTCGCGCCATGATTTGCGCTTGTGCTATTTTCCGGTTTTTTTTTTCATAAAAGGGAAATCCACGCACTAGATATCAGCCATCACAAAGAAAAGTCTGTGAAATATTGAAAAGAGAAGTACAAGAAAAGAGCATGTGATGTTTCGAGACACATTTCCTGTAGGTGCATCTTATAATAGCTGCGACGTTAATAGACGGAAGAGAAACAGCGTCGAAGTAAGTTGAAGACTGTGTTTTAACTTTCGCAGGACGTGTTTTGAAGAACAACGACATTTTATTTTGTTAAAAGTGCTTTAAACAACTTGAGACTCAGTGTTGCAAAAGAAATCACACAATTGTCACATTATTAATATATCGAATTAATAATAGTTTATTTTATAATATATTTTTTTATTAATTTTTTTATTAATATACTTACACAGTCAACTTTTGTATTAATAATTGATATATTTTGTTTTAATAGAAAAATGTCAAAATAATAAAATTTCCTGTAAATAATAAAGATAGAAGTATGTAGATTTTGCATAAATACTATTTTAAAAATTACAAGTATATGCACTTGCTCTATATAAAACGTAAAAGTCTCTCGTGTGATATAATTTGCATTGTTACATAGTGACCGTCCGAAGTAGATTTAAATACGCCATCGCGGTTCTAACAATCTAAAATAAACAACAATTATTTAGATAAAAAATATACAAGAAATTCCGACTAATATATTACTAAAATTTTATTGCAAAAATTGTCTTTAATTGTATTATTGTATGTCAAAGAAAAAATATAAATAAATAAACATGCTTACAGCACCGAAACTGCTGAAAGAAAGATCGATCACTTTGCCCGCCGTAAGTTTCGAAGGATAACTGGCCATGGCGATCACGAGAATAAGATAACGAGCTTCTTTATTAGGCAGGTAATACCAGTCAATCGTGCAGCAAGTTGTATTTACTTTACTCCCCTGTCGAGGAAAACGCAACAAGTGCACAACTTCAAGTAAACAAGTACACGTAGTAAAACAATCTCAGTTTCAGTTTCTTTTAATATTATATGAGAATATATATATATATATACGTATCTCTTATTATTTATCTTTAATTATTTAATATAAGATTTTTGAAATTATTATTCAGTATTAGGTTTTAGTTTATTAATTATTCAGAATAAAAGTATTTGACACACTTGCATATTATCCACGCACCCTACCTGACTGTTTAAAACTTCGCCAATGTAACACAATATGAAAATGTTGAAGGTAAAAGACACGAGCATTATGGCGTAAGTCAAGGTGGAGAGTGAATCGTTTCGTTCCCAACCCTAAAAAGAACGAATTGTTATAAAAATGTTGTGGTATTGTAAAAATAAAAACGTATAAAGCGAGATCGGCATGCAAGGAAGTCATTTGGTTGTTAATGCGTTTACTCTCTTCTGCATACCGTTATTACATAATATCCTAAGAGACATAATATTAAAGTGCTCCCGATAACTTCGATAAAACACATTTCTCCTATGACATCTTGTGTCTGATGTAAAAATCTAGAATTGAATAATTGTGTAATGATAACGTAACACACATTATGTTAAACTACTTTTTTAGATAATAAAATAGTAATGAATAATAGTAAAATAATAATAAAAATTTTTTTTGACAAAAAAAAGCCGTAAAATGCGTGTGACCAATAATTTACATCTAATGTAAAATAAATAAATATTGTTTTTCTTTACAAAATACGAAAATGTCACAAGCGAAATAATTGCTTTCTTAATGTAATAATCAATTTTAATGTAACGCTAGCCACAATCGAAGAAATTGCACAAATTAAAAAATTTGTTTATTAACGGATTTAAAAAAAAACAGATGTGTAATGATTTCAGCTACTCACTGACGCACTCTCACGTGACGCGCGACAATCACTGCCAGGTTTTGGGCGGAGTGATTCTTCGTCGGTCGTTGGTCCTCGTTTGCCAAATTTTCCAGCCAAGCGGACAGCATTTCGAGCTGTCCGCAGGCGTGCATGGTGAACAACGCGGTGATCCCGCAGACGCTGGCCGTCACGAAGTATATAACGACGCCTGTCAATAAGTGCATCGAGAACACTATCTCGTACGCGGGGCTCTGTTGCGGATCGAAAAAGATGAAGTAATTGCCCTGCACCAGCGGACGGATGGTGATGTTTCCCTTGACGATCTTGCCGCGGAATATCGGTTGAATCAGACGGTGGGACAGGCCGCTGGTGAGGAGGAACAACGTGGTGCAGATGAGAATGAAACGTCCGGACTTCGCCCGGTCCAGCATGATTCTGCGGTCGTTCGCATCTCTCACGTTTCTCCAGTCCTCCTCCACGTGCCGCACGCATTCGCCAATGCGATTCTCCTGCAGCATCAGCACGCAGTACATGGCAGGCACCATGCTGTAGAAGCAGAGCCCGCCGAGCATTCTGATCCTACTCTTGAACGTGTCCAGGATCAGGAACATGTAGAGCATCCACGGTATCAGATTGAACGACAGCAGAAAGCAACAGATGATCCTGAGAAGCGCCTTCAGCAATCTCTTTCTGTACTGAGGCTTCCCCAGGATCGGCCACACGCCGATCAGTCCCAAGATCAGTCGGTGCACCCGCACGGTGTATCTTATGTCGTCGTTGTAGTTGACGTTGAGTGAACCAGCGACGCCTTTGATCACGGCGTACATGTCGAGGAAAAAGCAAAATTTCTCTTGATCGCAATTTTTCTCTTCTCGCTTGTTCGCGTAGCGATCGCTCGATTGCAACTGGCGGACGCAACTTGGTTGGTTGCATCATGCACGTATTCGCGTCTGCGTGGATGTATCATTCTCGGTTGCATACATACACACGTACGCAATTCGACCGCACCGCAAGTTACAAGTTTTCATACATTCAAAAGGGTTGAGTGTGTGCGCGATTTTTTATTGCGGTTAATTGCAGGGTGCAATTGATTCGCAGTAAAAACCGCTTTTATGAAGCAAAATGTTGCGTCTGGTCATGGGTCATAGATATCGGCCACGCTAGAGAAAGAGTTTTACATGCGAATTGTTAATTACACGAATCACGCAACTTAGAGAGCGGCGATAAATCTCAAACTTCAGTCGGGAGCAATTAAAACTTTTTGTCAAATATGAAAAAGCCGTAGAACAGAGTTCGTCGAATTGTTAGATAGATTATTTTATTGTTCTTCTTTACGAAGTGAAAAAAAAAACATCAAAAGTAGAACGTATATTGTACCGTTTTATTTGTCGAAGTAACAACGATTGCAAATCAATAACTCAAATTCGTGACATTCTATAACTGAGTTGTGATTTGTTGAAATCACATGATGAATTTTCGAAGCAGATTGAAGTACGCCATTGAAGTTCTGATTATCTAATGATAAAATAAACGTGCGTGTTTTGATTCGAATGTTAGCGCGGATTTCTTTGTTAAAAAAAAAAAAAAAAACAGCGATAAATTTTTGTACTCACGTTACCGAACGTGGGTAGAGACATCTCAATCATCCGACCTGCTGATATTCTTGCCGGAATGTTGGAAATCGCCATTACCAAGATCAACATGCGAGCTTCTTTGTGAGGAAGACGATGCCAATCCGTCATGGACGTCATCAATCCGACTTCGGTGCTCTGTCACAATTAAACAATTACATTACGCGAGACGGATGATGCGTGTCCAAAACGACGCGTTTCTCTAGAAGAATGAAATTTGTCAACAGCAATGTCGTTTCGGACACTTGTCAGTCGCTTCTCGTGAATTGGGAGAGAACGTCGATGCTCAATTTTCACAGCAAACGACAACTCGGACGTTCAATACCTGATCTGTCAGAAGCTGACCGACGTAACAGATGGTAAAAATCGAAAACGTGAAAGATGTAAGTATCACAGACATGGTTAGCATGGCTGTAGCGTCGCTGCTTTCCCACTCCTATAAATGCAATACTAATAATTGTTTTATTTCGAAGTTTTCTGCATGAAAATAAAAATATCACTTTTAATTGTGTTTGGAAATAAAAATGTTCACTGTCGCAAAAATTGATAAAACCCATTCGCCTCAATCTGTTATGGTTTACCATAATGACGTAGTACCCCACAAGACATAGAAGTATAGTAGACCCCACTATTTCCACCAACCATATATATCGCATAGCTTCCTCTATTTGTTTCAAAAAACTGTAAACGTGTTAGAGATTTTTTATCGTTTTGAAAAGACGTTCTATGTTTTTTTGTAATAATATAACACAAGACAAAGTAGAGGAGATAATAAAAAAAAAGGTGAAAATTATTCGGTTTTATATAAAAATTTTTATCTCGTTGCACATCTTTAAATCTTCATCTGTCTAGACACTCACCTCTTTACTTTTATCTGATGTTCTACGATAGCGGCCAGCGATATCGCGACAGCTCGATCGTCGAACGCTGCTATGTTGTTGAGTCGCTGCAGCTTGCCGATCAGAATGCTCAGCTGTCCGCAAACGTGCATGACGAAGAACGCGGCCAATCCGGCCGCGCCGCACGTCACCGAGTAAGTGACCAGCCCTGCGAAGAATTGCAGGATGAAGACGATCTCGTACGCGGGCGAGACCTGTTCGTCGAATATGACGAAGTAACTCGGACATGCTAGCGCTCTCACCGTGGTGTTCATCGGGGTCGGTATTCGTCCCTTCGCGAGCGGCATGACGGTGCGGTAAGACAGTCCGCCGACGTACATAAAAATCGCGGAAACAACCGCGAACTTACGGCCGATTCTCGCCTTGAACAGCATCGCTCGCCGATCGTTTTGCTCGACCGTATCCCGCCAATCCCGTCGCACCTGCTTCAGGCAAACTCGGATCTGCTTCGCGTAGTACACGAGCAGACTGTACTTCAGACAACTCATCCAGCAGTTTAGCAGCGGCCCCAGCAATCTCACTCTTCGCTTGAAATCCCGTTCCTTCAAGAACATCAGCAGAAATCCCGGAACCAGAATGAACGCGAACAGGAAATAGGCAAAGGCAATTTGCGAGCGGGTGACAATTTTTCGCAGGTCGGAAGCGAATGTGGAAACCGGCCACGCGCCTATCATTTGCAGGATGACGCGGGTCACACGCACCGCGTGATCGAAATCGTTGTCGCGTCTGCTCGACCGGATCGTTTTCGCGGCTCGTTCCATCTGTTAACGTTTTTTTTTTAAATTGCAAGTTCGCAAATCGCTAAGTAAATTCGATCGCAAGTTCCGTGTCTCTTCCGTTTCGCCGGGAACTCGGCAACGTCAACGGCGTTTCCGCATTTTGACCACACGGGTGAGACAAATGGTCAGGTGGCACTAGAAGCTCGAGCATGACTGAACATACGAACAGGTGATCATGGGTAGTCTTTCTCCGGAGTGAGTGTGCTCGGTGCGCTTGCGTGCACGAAACTACCGCGCGTAATTACAGAGCTCGCAAAAAACGAATTGGTGAATTTACCAAATAGCGGCGACGAACGCGCAGAGAGAAAGAACACACGACGCCATACGGTATAAGCCGACAGTTTCTGAAGAGAATGAAGTTCGCGAAGTGTGCTCTGTGCCGCGCGTTATGTTGTAAGCAACGGGACATCACGTAAGTAAAACATGTCGATTCACGGAAACTCGTTACGCTACTTACAGCCGAAAGCGTCTCGTTAATCGCAAATTGCAAAGCAATAAAAAAAAAAAAAAAACAGTATTGCGAAGAGAAAAAAACAGTTAAATACTAAATGTATCTGAATTGTATTGAAACGTACAATTGTTAAAGAGTATTTCGCTCGTGTGTTAATTTCTGTATTTAAACGATGCTGCTCAGCGGAAATCCATCGAGATTTCGTCCTAGATTTTTCTACGATCTTAAAGTCCACTTTATTTGTTTAACTCGCCTGAGAATCAAATACTCGTTGTGCGTAGTATATTCAAGTACGCTACCGATGTCCGTACGATCTAAAATATAAAAGCAAAAAAAACGTGTTTTTTGGTTTGAAACGAAACTGAGTGAGAAAAATGTATGTATGGACACTCACGGCGCCGAAGCTGTTCAGAGACAGATCCATAAATTTTCCCGCGGTGATTTTGACGGGAATACTGGAAACCGCAATCACCAGAACGAGGCCGCGAGCGGTCTTGTGAGGAATCCGATACCAATCGAGAGTACAGGAAGTGACGTACATCTTCGCGCTCTTTAAATCGCGCGACGATACATCAGTTTTCTCTCTCTCTCTCTCTCTCTCTCTCTCGCGATATTTGCGCCGAATTTAATAATTGATCGATACCTGATCCGTGAGGAGCTCGCCGATGAAGCACAGTATGAAAATGTTAAAGATGAATGTCAAGAGGAGTATACCGTACGTCAGCATGGATACCGCGTCGTTGTTTTCCCATTCCTACAAATTATGCAAGTCCGAAATTCGCGTACATACGTACTTATTACAGCCTTATCACACTTGGGCCCGGACGTTACAACGAATGTTGTTGTATTTTAATTGTCAACGGATGTTGTACGTGTGTGACCTGTTGCGTTTGTTTTTGACTATTATGCGAACAACAGATGTAAAATAACGTCCGTTATTTAAACTCAAGTGTGACCTCGGCCTATGTATTCGAAATGTCTTATCTCGCGTACCATTATTATGTAATATCCTAGGAGACACAGGATGAAAGTGCACCCGACTACTTCTACCAGACACGAAAATTGCAAACTTTCCTCCACCTTGCTCAAAAAGCTAGATGGCATTTTGTTGTGGTAAGAAGAATATCTTAATATTTAAATTATACACTTTTTTTATATATCCGCAAAATGAGGTCTTATATAAATTCCTTGCACGCACGACTCGACTAGGCGGAATTAATTAATTTTTACTAGCTCGCTAATCTCGCGTTACCTTTTAATTCGTATATGCTGCCTCACGACGGCCGTCAGTTTTCTGTTGGCGTTTCGATCGTGAAGATGCTTGATCTGCATGAGGTCCTCCATCCTGGCAATGAGAATTTTCAACTGGCCGCAAGCGTGCAGCACCAACAGAGCCGCCAGACTGCAAGTGCCGCTTGTCAGCGAGTACTGAACGAAACCCGAGACAAACTGGATCGTGAAGATGATCTCGTAAGCCGGCGTTTTCTGCGGATTGATGAACAGGTAATAGCCGTCGATTCCTAGCGGTCTAATTGTCACGTTCTGCGACGTGACAACAATTCCGCGCGATAGCGGCACGATCGTGCGATACGAGAATCCGCTTCCGTAAACGAACGCGACGCAGAGGATCGCCAGACTGCGACCGATTTTCGAGTTCCCCGTCATGAGCTTGCGATCCTCCGTCAGGTTCACTCTCTTCCAGTCCTCCTCGAGGTGTCGGATGCAATCCCTGATCCGATCGCTCCGACAGATCAGCGCCGCGTGTTTCAGCACAGCCATCAGGCAGGTGCACATAGGTCCGATCATCTTGAAACGACGACGCGAGTTGGTCTCCCGCAGGAACATCTTCAGTACGCCCGGCACGAAGACAAGGTACAGCAGACATTGACACATAACGCGCAGCATTTTCGTCCGAACGATCGTGAGAGCGGACGGATCGCCGAACGACGGCCACACGCCGATCAGATTCAGGACGCCGCGCGTCACGTGCACGGTACGCCTGATGTCGTCGCGATAGAGGGTGTTCGCGTGCATAATCTCGGCGACGCGTCTGATCCTGACGTTGCTGAGGAACTGATAAAACGCGTCGCCGTGGAAAACGCAAACTGCGACATTGCGCCTGCGTCGGAGACGGGGATCGGAAGACGAGAGAAAATCAGCAGGTGCATCGTCCCGATGATTACACGCAATCTTCCTTCCCGTCGCAGAAAATCGCAGAAAACTTTGTTGAGAGAGAAAGGGGGACATCGCCGATAGGAAGCGGCTTTACAAAGTTGCGAACTCGAGAAAAACTAGTGAGAAAAAATAGCGATCACGACAGAGGAAAAAAATCACAGACAGTGTGTATTGATTGTTTAATGACGGTACGCTGATTCTTTTGTGTCTCAATGAGTATTTGACTGAGAAAGATCAGAGAAGATATAGAAAAAAAAAAAAAAAACGAAAAAAGAAAAGTAAAGACGATATGTGTAAATGCAAAGAAACTTCAGTTTCTTTGTTTAATTTGTAAGTAACAAGAGAATAACACATCGGATATTAACTTCTTGTTTCATTTTTCCAGAGTGTTACTTTTACATTTTTGACATGTACATTTCTACTCTGAAACTCTCTCTCTCTCTATACGATTCTTTAAAAAAAAATAAAATATATATGTATGCGGCCTGCTATATATATACATATGTGTAGTTAAATATTATTAAATATTGATATTAAACATTAACTCTTAATTATTCCATAATTCTTCGAATAAGATTAAAATACGTCACAGCTGTCTTGACGACCTGAAATACAATACGTATCTTCGACGATCATTCTTTAGTCAATAAAAATGATTACTCACATCGCCGAAGGTTCTGATAGAGAGCTCGACGAATTTTCCGGCTTTCAGTTTTGTCGGAACAATCGACATGGCTATGATCAAGATCAGCGCTCGTACTTTCGCATCCGGAAGACGGTACCAAGTCAACGTACACGCTGTTAAAGCTAATTTCTCTCCCTGGGTAGTAAAGTTTATCGCGTTATAAAACACAAAATCAAAAAGAAACAATTTCGCTTTCTTGCAACACGTTCTCCACAACGAGAACGCGATACGATACCTCAATTGACAGTTGTTCACCGATAAAACAAAAAATGAAAATATTAAATCCAATTGACGTAAGTAAAATGAGATACGAGCACATAACGATCACGTTTTTATTCTCCCATTCCTGCAAGATCGTCAATATACACATGTAAATGTTGTGCGACGTGCGTTAAAAAACAACATATATAAATACAACTGTCATTGTTATTTAGGCACACCGTCAGAACACTATGTCCTAAGAGACACACAATCATCGTACATCCCATCACTTCCAACAGACTCGTAAATTCCAAAGTGTTCTGCACCAATTGTAAGAAACTATAAAGGGACCCGTGTAAAATACGAAGTTTATTACAAATTTTTGTTTATTATAAAAAACTAAAAAAAATTTATTAAATATCAAACAGAAAACAATTTCGATAATTAAAATCGTCGGTTTTAAAATGTCGGTCAGAACACAACAGTTTTGCAAATTTCACAAATATGAAATTTGATACTTCGAACCAACCACGTAGTTGCCACATACATGTGGCTTGGATGTAAGTAATAACAATAGAGATTCAACAACTTACCGTCTCATCTTGATTTGATGTTCTACCGTTACTGCCAGTCTCTCGTTTAAATTTTTGGCTTCAGGTTCGCTCACCAGATTGTTCATCAACATCATCAGTATTTCCAACTGAGCGCACAGATGCATAGCAAAGAGCGCGGCCAGGCTGCAGATCGCCACGGTGATGGTATACTTGATGAATCCGGAGAAGAGCTGTATAAAGAATATGACTTCGTACGCGGGACTGATCTGTCCGTTGAAGAAAACGAAGTAACTCGGACACGCTAGGTATCCGATTGTGACGTTCTGTTCCGTGACGGATTTCCCTCTGCTCAGCGGCACAATCGTGCGAAAATACAAACCGGACGAGTACATGAACACACCGCACAGAATGAGCAAACGTCTGGCAGTTCTGGCTTTGTCGATCATGGAGTCGCGAGCGCGTACGCTTGCGACGTTTCGCCAATCGTCTTTCACTCGCAACAAACACGTTCTCACTCGATTCCCGCTGAGCATCAGGTTGCTGTACTTGAGCATCGCCAATATCGTGAACATCACCGACGATATCAGATTCAGTCTGATGCGAGTTCGCTTCTCGACGAAGATTATGTACAGAATCGTCGGGATCAACTCGCAGCAGAGGAGGAAGTAGCAGCCAAGGATCAGCAAAATTCTCCGGAAATTCTCGAAGAACGAGGGTTTCGTCTCCATGTACGGCCAGATACCCAACAGACGAAAAACGAAGCGATTCAGTTGCATTGTGTATCTTATGTCTTCCTCGTAATTTTTATTAGCAAACATTGTTTAAATGATATTTGTATTAAGCAAATGAGAGGAGAAAACACCGTTATGATTTTGTCGCACGTCGCCTGATGTGCGTGATGGGACGCGTGTGCTGACGAGATACGTGCTTCTTCATCACTGATCGTGACGAGCTTGTTCTTCGATCCGAGCATGACTCGATGAAGGGAGTGCGCGCTTGCGTTTTTCAAACGCAACTCAACGTCAAACGAATACATACATACGTAATAAACCGCGTCGTCTGGAATACTTGAAAAAAAAATTGTATCGCGGAGAAAACTTGAGAGAGCGAAACAAGTCGTCGACGCAGGCGAAATTGCTTCCCGCGAAACTTATTCCTCGTGACGTTCATTGATTCTGTAGTTACTACTGACAATTGTGCTTTTTAAAGTAAACACTAAGCAAACCAGAGAAGTTCCGCGAGAAACAAGCAACATGGTTATCATATATAACTTTGTTCTTTGCTGTCTAGTTTGATATCGTGACGCAATCACGTTATCGTATTCAGGAAATAAACGGACAGAGAAAGTAAGAGAATCTTTCATATATAAACAAAAAATACAATTATAATATGTATGTGAAATATTTATATTTATACGTATATATCTCTGGCACACTAAACACTTTAACATTTGTGATGCATACATGTCTATCTGTTTTTTTTGTTTTTTTTTTTATGTATCACCGATTTTTGAAATATAATTTTGCTAATTACTTTTATAACTATCAGATTCAAGAATGTTTCAATTAGTAGATTTATTCTATCACATTTCGGAGCATATTAAAATACGCTCCAGCTGTTTTTATGACCTAAAAGATATATTTGAGATATATTTTTTTCATTTATTTATGGCAATATTTTATTAAGATATATTTAATACCATAATTAGCAAAAAAGCAAATACCGTGGAAACAAATTTCAATCAAATTTATTTATATTAGATATTTACTTAAAAAAATTAAGAGCAACTGTTTATATTTTATAAATCTTTTAAGGATTCAATTTTTTGCAAGTTTATGTGTGTGTTTAGAAATAAACATTAAAATAAATTTATTACTTACGTCGCCGAATGTTTTCAGTGACAAATCGACGAATTTGCTAGCGGAGATCTTGGTCGGTGTGTTAGACATTACCATCAGCATCACAACGCTGCGTGCTTTCTTATCTGGAAGACGATACCATTCGAGTTCGCACGACGTGGTAGCTACTTTTTCCGCCTGCCGTTGATTTGTGTCAAACACGTAGTAATACACGCCGATAAAATTTGCATCAAAATTTCATTCGCTATTTCAAGAATAGTGCAATACACATTTTTCTTTTTTTTTGTTTTATAAAAATTACTTCTATTACAGAGATTTTCAAGTACAAGTGAGTGCAATCCTTAGCGCGAGCAAACGATTACGTACGTATATATATTGACGGTTTCTCACCTGAGTGGTGAGTTGTTCACCGGTATAGCAAAATAGAAATATGTGAATTACCAAGTTGATAATGCTTAACAGATAAGAGCCTAAAACTGTCACGCTGTTATTTTGAAAATCCTACAAACATTTTACGTTCAGACACGTGATAAATATTGTATTTTTATACAAATTATATTGTCTCATTGATAAAACATATGAGACATATTTATAAATTGTAAAAATCATTGTATCTTTGTTTAAATTAATAAAAGTTGCATTGTCATGAAACTTGAATAAAATTTTAAGTCAGTGAATTTATCACTGCGATTTCTTCTCAAGTTTTCTCTTATGAGAAAATATTCAATTTTTGAAATTAAAATTTGCCAAAGCTTACGAACCAACATCAAAAAATACACCAAGAGGCAAATGGATATCGTGTTCACCATGACTTCCATCAGATATATTTCTCCTAGAGTATGCTGTACCATTTTCAAAAAACTGAAAAGCAATTACTGCCATGAAAAATATTATTTGTATCAGTAAAAAAAGAAAGAAATTGATCAACAATAGTAAAATATAAAAGTTGTTAATACAGTCAAGTTGAAAATTCATTGTTAATACGTAAATATATATTAACAATAAATATTAATAAATTTGCGCGAGCTTGTATTAAAATTTTAATTAATGCAACTGCCGTTTGCAAGTCGCGAATTCAAAATACCTGCGCACTCGCACATGATGCTCGACTATCTCAGCCAATTTGTCATCCACTTCATGTTCTTCCCGCCACTGTTTTCGCACGAGGCTCTTCATCAGATCAATCAGAATCTTCAGCTGACCGCAGGCGTGAACCACGAAGATCGAAGTGAGGCCGCACGCGCTCGTCGCAACGGAGACCGTGACGAATCCTGTCAAGCACTGAATTACGAAAATCGTCTCGTAAACGGGACTGACTTGCACGTCGAGGGAAAAGAAGTAACCCGGACACGCCAGAGGTCTTATCGTAATGTTCTGATCGGTGACGATTTTTCCGTGAGACAACGGCAGAATCGTGCGAAAGGTGAAGGCGCCGCTGTACATGAAAAATCCGCAGATCATGACCAGACGTTTCCCCGTTCTCGCGGATCTCAGCATGATGTCTCGCGCGTCCGCGCTGAGGATCGTCTCCCAGTCCTTCTCGACGTGCTTCAGGCATCGTCTGAGCTGACTGTGACGGAATATAAAAATACCGTACTGACTGGCCGACATAAAGTCGTAGAGAAGAAGAGGGATTGTGTGTAGACGGATGCGCGTTGTCTCGGCCATCAGCGAGAACAAGATACCCGGTAGAAGATCGCAAGAGAGAAGAGTGTAAGATATGCAGATTAACAGAAGATTGTGAGCTCTCGGATACGCGGATCGCTCCTTGCCGATGGACGGCCAGGCGCCGAGAGCCAGCAGGATGTTGCGAGTCGGCTTTGTCACGTACAAAACGTCGTCCTCGTGGTGCTCGTTTCGCGGCATCTCTCAACGAACTGCGACCGACGCTCCGCGGAACTCTCATACGCGATCGTACGGTTTTAATGCAGAACCTGGAATGCGCGTTGAATCGCAACTGATCGCTCGACGGCGAGTCATAAACTCGGCTAGCCGATTCGCATGCGCGTTTTAAAGATTTAAAAGCGAAGGAAGGATTGCAGAGGCAGTGAGGTTTGTTGTAATAAAATTGCTCACCGAGGGACGAGATTGCTTTTTGCAAAGAATATTTCTGTCCGTGACTTTATCGACTTTTGCAGCAATCAGGAAAGTCATTGTTCTCAACTTTTCTTTCTTTCTACATTCTGACTCTCTCGCGATTATATTCCGTTTCCTGAGATATAAGTAACGAATAGGTTTTATTACATTCTCTCAAGAACATCTACTACTTTTTCTACTACTATTTTCTAATTTTTTTCCTCATAAATGCGATTGTCCGTCGATGTGAACAACATTTTTGTCGCATCACATGTGTTATTTATAAGTGAGTAATCCTGAAATTATATTAATTAATACGCAAAATATATACGTGTATAAATTTTATAGAAACTTTTATAATAAATATAAGGGATTATATTTGCACTTATTATTCTGTACAGCGTATTTGTTTTATATACTTTGTAGCATTGCTAATTAAATTTACTCTATAATCTCGTTAATTATCATTATCATTGATCAGTAACTGTACGAAGTATATTGAAGTACACGACTGCCGACTTTATTACCTGAAACGGTAAGTAGCACAAATGTTGTGTGTAAAAAAACCATCTTTATCGTTAAATAAAAAAAAAAGAATGTATCTTATAGTAGAGAAAAAATTTCAATATAATTCTTACGTCGCCAAATGTCTTGAAGGAAAGAACAAAAAGTTTCCCTGCAGTGATCCTTAACGGAATATGCGATATAATGACTATTAGCACAACGTCGCGTGTTCTCTTCGATGGAAGACGATACCATTCCAGCGTGCTTGTCGTCCAAGCTACTTCATCTGCCTGTTATAACGATTGCTCATAACTATTGCTTTTATTTTTATACAATTTTTTTACTTGCAGAGAGACAAAAACAAGAACAATAAAGGTAATATGATATACGACTTACAGCCGCGGCAATGTGTTCGCCAATGTAACAGAGAAGAAATATGTTAACCGTGTCAGAAGCTAAAGCTACGAGAAAGGTGCACACGTTCGCGGTGTTCCCATCCTGCCACTCCTGTTCACAACAATGGGTTTTTGTAACGAATCAGTAAAGCGTATAACGACAATGTGCGTGTACAACATATGCCTGTACAATTTTATTCACCGTCACGCGATTTGAACGCGTTTGTGCCTACCATCAGAATGCAATATCCCACGAAACACATCATGATCGTGTTACCCAATATTTCGAACAAACTGCTTTGTTGCAGCGTGTCTTCTACCATGTACAAGAAGCTGAAAGCAATGACTAATGCGAAACTGGAAGAGAGAAGGGCGCAGGGAGCGATGATGATGTTGCCCCTCACTTTCGTATTCTGATATGATGCTCGACCACCGTCGCTAACTTCTCGAACGCGGCTTTCTCGTCGCGCTTTTCGTCGACGAGCTCGTTCAGCAACGTCATCAGGATCTTCATTTGCGCGCACGCGTGCATCACGAGGAGCGCGGCGAGGCCGTAAATCACGATCGTGACGGAGTACATGACAAAGCCGCCGAAGAACTGCAGCAGAAACACGATCTCGTAAGCGGGACTGCGTTGCTCGTCGAAGATAACGAAGTAACCCGCGTAAGCCAGCGGTCTGATCGTCGCGTTCTCGCTGGTGATCGTTTTTCCCCTCGATAACGGCACGATCGTGTGATAGGAGAGACCGGCAGAGTACAGGAACGTGCAACAGATGGTGAATATGTGTCTGCCAATTTTTGCCTTCTCCCTCATGACGTTCCTCGCGTCCGCAATCGCGACGAATTTCCAGTCGTCCTTGATGTGTCTCAGACAGCTTCGGATCTCGTTCTCGTAAACGATCAATGTGCCGTACTTGGCGAGCGCGGTGAATGAATAGACCATGGGCGCGATCATTTGCAGTTTCGCGCGAGATTCCGCCTCGGTGATGAATATGCAATACAGCATGCTGGGTACGCACTCGAAACAAACGAGGATACAGCAAACGGTTACGAGAAAAATCTTGCAGACGGTTTCCGCGACGGACGCGTCTCCGTCGAGAAGAGGCCAAACGCCGAGTACTCGTAAGAGACAGCGACTTTGTTTGGTGACATATTCTATGTCTCGCTCGTAATTCTCGTTCAAATGCGTTTCCGAAAAGAGTCTTCTCATTGCAAACAAAGAGATAGAATCTCTCTTCAGGGGGTCAAGTTCTTGAAGATGCGTTTTCTCGAATAAAAACACTGTGACGCTATAGCTGATTCGCGACACGTTATTGTGTCGGCAGATAGCGAGAGTAGCTCTGGATCTCTACCGATTCCTACCGTAGACTAAGATCGACTGAAGCGTGTGTGCGAAGAACACTCGACACGCTTGCGCGTTTTAAATATTAACGAGTGCTATCATGTGAGAAGAAGCTCGAACAGTCACTGAAGTTCCACACAACCCCGTTTACAACTTCAGCTCAAAAGGAAGGGTTTGATTTTCTAACAAACAAGAGGTTTATTTTCTCCGAGAAAATGAAGGAACTGAAGCAAACTTTGTATATATCCCAAGAAAAAAAAAATTCAAATAATCTCCCTCATTTTTTATTATAGACTTTATCTTCTTGTGTGGCAATTTATTGTTTCTGATACAAAAAAAATTTGAATGTTTATTCGACTATTATTTAAACGTGCGTAAATACATTATTCAACAATGTATATAGAAATATCCTTTTCTCTCTCTCTCTCTCTCTCTTTCTTTCTATAAATATATATATATATATATATATGTATAAACAATATTTTATAATATTCTACACAGAGCACCATTATCGTTGTGGACAATGTCGTATCTAAATATACTAAGTTTGACCATATCTCAATGACCGTTCACTTATTCCGCTTGTAATAATTGTTGCTGCTGTTTAATCAGTTATCGTGCGAAGAATATTAAAATACATCACAGCTGATTTAATTACCTACAATATGTCATAAGGGAAAAGCTTCACACAAAATTCTTGTTTAACAATTGTACATGCAGCCGAGAAAAATCATTACGCGCAACAACTGTGTGTAATATTTCTTTTCGACTACTTTGTAAAATATGTTTCATTGTACTCACATCTCCAAACGTTTTGAAGGAAAGACCGATAATTTTTCCAGCTGTTACTTTTAACGGAATGTGCGATATGATTACTATCAACACAATGTCACGCACTCTCTTCTGTGGAAGACGATACCACTCTAGCGTATTTGCTGTCAATGCTACTTGATTTGCCTGTAAAAAAAAAAACAATACAATATTCAATACATGTATAGTTTTTCAACACGCAAAGAATTTTTTTGCACTTTTTACGAACAATACAGACATTTTTTAAATCAATTACTGATATTTTATAATATAAATTATTATTGTTTTTCAGTGTGCGATTTATACAAAAAGTTAAGTCAACGCTAAATGGATGAAACTCTCACTGTTTCTGTAATATGCTCGCCGATGTAACAGAGAATAAATATGTTAATTGTATCAGTAACCAGAGCAACGAGAAAACTGCACGCGTTTGCGATATTTCCGTCTTGCCATTCCTGCAAGATAGTTCAACGCAATATTCAGCTTAACTGCTTGTAACGTGTATAAATAAATGTGAGACATGTGTGTAAACAACGATAAAGTTTAGCAAATCAGAATGGAAAACTTTTATTCACCGTAGGCGCATTGTGCCTACCATTAGAAAGCAGTATCCTACGAAACACAACAGTATGGTGCTTCCAAGTATGTCGAACAGGCTACTGTGGTTTAGCGTGTTCTCTACCAGAAATACGAAACTGAAATTGATATTATTTTCGCCGACTTGAGAACCCAAGAAACATACTGACAGATGAGTCGAACGCTAACTTACCTACGTATTCTCGCTTGATGCTCGATCACGATCGTCAAATTCTCGTTTACGATCTTCTCTTTGCACGCCTCCTCTTTGACGAGGTTCTTCATTAATATCATCAGAATCTTCATTTGCGCGCACGCGTGCATCAGAAGAATCGAAGCGAGTCCGTAAATCACGATCGTGACCGTGTACATGATGAAACCACTTAGGAAATGTATCATAAAACAAATTTCGAAGGCGGGACTGCGCTGTTCGTCGAACAGGACGGTGCGGCTCGAATTCTCGAGCGACACATTCGTATCGTTATTAACGCCAACAGCTTTTCCCGCGGACAAAGCGGCCAAGTGATAAAGAAGACCGGTGCAGTACAGAAAGCTACAGCATATAGTGAACATATTTCTCGCCGCTTTTACGTTTTTCATCATGATATCTCTCGCGTTCGGCGTAGCGAAAAATCTCCAATCGTCTTTCACGTGTCTTACGCAACTTCTGATCTCGTTCTCATGCATGATGAGAGACACGTACTTGGCGAGCGCGTTTACTATATAAACTATGGGAGCGATCAGTTTCAGCTTCGATTGCGTGTCTTCCTCGGAGCTGAACATGTAACTGAGAACAAACAGCACCAAGTCGCAACACACGAGTACGCAGCAAACAGCCATCACGGAAAGTTTAGAGAAAATTTGAGTGACAGACAACTGTTCCTCATGCAACGACCAAATACCGATTATTCGCAAGAGAACGTAAGTCTGTTTGGTGACATATTTTACGTCTTGCTCGTACTTCTCGTTCGAACACCTCGCCAAAATGCGCTTCCCTGTCATGAATGAGTATCGGAAAGAAAAAATATATAAAAAAAAAGAAAAACTGATGATGAATAAAAAGCTTTCGAAAATTTTGCGCAACGCCGTGTTTTCGAGCCGCAAGCTCAATCGCTACTGATCGTTACAATGGGGATGAGAGCTCGTTGTACGCATGCGAGCACCGAGATGTTTTGCAGACTTAATATTTGATAACAACAGGATGGCATGGAAAAAAAGTTTGCAACGATCATTGCCTTCCTCTTTCAAACTTGAACGGAGGGATTGACTTTCTGAGAAATGCGGAGTTGCATACGTAAATAGCAAATCGCCTACAACTCTTTCATAGATAGTAGTTTCTCTGCTTTAGAAAGACAGCATAAAAAAAAAAAAAAAAAACGTTCGTGCGTAATGTGCGTATGTACGCAAAATACAAAGGAATAAAACTAGTATTTCCTATGTTTCTTTTATATTTGTCAAAGTCATGATAACGCTTGAATGTTATTTCTTTTGAATTATGGCGCGTCTTCTTCTCAACTATAATGAAATTATTTCTTTGTGCGGCAGTCTTGATGCAGCCGCGCCAAGTTTGTTTGCATTAAATATTTTTTATATTTTGAAAAACGTTTTTCTTTTGTTACATTTCTATGTGTTCTAGTAATAAACATAATCTTATCAAAGTACATAGTTATGTACTTAGGATTAGTTATTAATAATCACACAGAACAAAAGTTAAAGCGTAGTCCTACTATAGACACAATTATATTGTTGTATATTGTTTTTCAACAATAAAATTGCTTTTTAGAGAAAAAATGTTTTGTAGTATATAATAACAAAAAAAAAAGTTAAGGCATAGTCTTACTTTTTGACGTAAGTATGTTATTGTAAACTGTAATTCTATTCCATATTGTAATAATTTACTTTGTGTTTCAATAATAGGATGACCAATACAGAAAGATTGTTGTTCTAGTCACGCGTGGAAAAACAAAAAAAGGTATTTTTAAAAAGATATTTTATAACAGAGACTCGTCTGTTTTCTTTTCGACATATATCTTCTTTACATATTTGTAAAGTATATACTAATGAGACTCCGAAGATATCGATCAAAAGTAGAAAAGTAGAAAATTAGAAGTCATAAAGAGTACAATGTAATAGCATTTTAATGTACTTTCTAATGACATCGTTAGATACACATGTTTTGATTCATTAGTCGGATCTTCTTCGATAAAACAAGAAACATTTCTGTAAATGTGTTATTTGAAAAATGTATTGCATAAGACTCTTTATGACCTAAAAATTCTTACCTTTAGTTATTTGTATCATTTTATTTTGTGAAGTTCGATGGTATGTTGCAGAACAGTTGTTGTGTGTAAAAAGTTTTCACACACACACACACAATTTTCATTCAGCAGAGAGAGAGAAAATATGTCCACGAATATCACGTATTCTGTTCTAAAGAAGATAATATCACCTTAACGTATTTGCTGTCAAAGCTGCTTGATTTGCCTGTAATAATAATAAAATACACAGTATTTAATTAAAAAAACTCGAAAAACTTACCTTTTCAAAACAAGGTAAAAAAAGACGCCAAGTACACGCACAACACGTATTGTATTACTATAAAACCTGTGTTCTACAATATTATATACTACAAAACATTCGTTTTTACTACAAAACTTTTTTTCTCTAAAATGTTTTTACACACTACACAAAGTTGTTTCTCTATAAAAGTTGATTTACAAAATATTATATACTACAAAACATTCTTTCTAGTTCTTAATAGTTGAAGAGCAGCTTTGTACGTATTCTACGTCTCGCTCGGGTATCTTTTGTCGAAATATGCTGTGAAAATGAGTAAAAATCGATTTCAAAAAAAAAAAAAAAATATACAAGAAACAAAGAAAAAATGATGATGATCAAAAAGCTTCTGAAACTTTTACACGACACGTGTTTTCGAGCCGCAATTGCTTGTTACAATGGAGACGACTTGTACTCACGCAAGCACAGTGCGTTTCGCAGCATTAATAATTGAGAACAGAATGGCATGTTAAGAGCAAACTTTGCAATTAGGGTTGCCTTTCTGTTTTAAACTTGTACTTGAGGATTAACTTTCTGAGAGATGGATTGCACGTAAAAATAAGGGGATCGCACAACTCTTTCATACATTACATTTTTTCTGCCAGAAAGACAGCGTACAAGATCGTGTGATACGTAATGTGCGTGCATATGTATATAAAATAGCAGAAAATAGTTCGTTATCGCGTTCGTTTCTCTTCTATTTGTTAGTATGACGATAATAAATGCTTGAATGTTATTTTCTCGGAATTCTTTACTCGTGACAGTGAATAAACACACGACGAGAAGTTTTATGTCGCAAGATTACATGTGATTGTCCTGTAAAGTCAAAAATTACAGGGAGATCTCAACAAATCAAGTATATACACATTATGACAACGACGAGAGATGTTCATGATATAATTAAAGAGTTTTACTTATTTCAGCTTCAACGTTTAATATATTTATTATATGCGCACAATGTGGTGTGTTCGATGTTCTCGATATACATACGTGTACTCTTACTTATAAATTCGGATACTCTCTAAACTATTCAGGCGGTTACATTCCGAAGCATATTGAAATACGCCGCGGATGTTTTGAGTATCTGAAATATAACGCATTCGCTCTATATGCGTGTTTAACATGTAGACATTCTGATGTATTTTCTCTGTGCATACACACACACACACACACACGTTGTTGAAAAAAATGTATTTCCTTACTTACATCACCGAACGTCTTGAACGACAAGTTGAAGATATTCCCAGCGGAGATCTTGGTCGAGATGTTGGATACGATCATCACCAGCACTATCGTTCGCGCTTTTCTATCCGGAAGACGATACCACTCGAGCTCGCAGGACATGACAGCCGCTTTCTCCGCCTGTTGTAATAACATCATACGACGGGCATGTTCGTGTGCCAAAACCTATTTTCTCGAATTTTTAAGCGATGCAATATGATTTTTTATGAAACATTAAACAATTAAACGAGAAACGACATCCGATGAAGAAATAACTACGTCTACGAGACACGCAGAGAGAATCCGAGTTTTAGTACGTGATACTTTATTAAGTGTAAGATTTACACTGTCTATAGCATATTAGTGCGTTTGATGCTTAAACAATGATAGAAAATGAAGTGCGAGTTTGCGAAGATATATAAAATGTATAGGTATGGTAATAGCAATATATAGTTTGTTCTTTGATCAAATGTAATTGCGCGCAAAACTGTTTGCTGTAAGGGTTGAGTGGAGGTTGGAGTGTCACATGAAAATGTACCTGCACGATAAGTTGCTCGCCTGTGTAACAATACATGAACATATTTACTACTGCGGTCGCGAGGGATACAAAGTAGGAACACATTGCTATCGCATTGCTATTTTCCCATTCCTAGAAATAGTCACGTGTCTTACTTCGGGTTTTGTTTTGTTTTGTTTTAAAGCAAGTTTTTTGAACAAATTGTTTTACCGATAAAGGTAAAAGTTTATTGTGTCCAGAGATTGTTGAATAGATAAAGTTACGAACCATTATCATGAGATAACCTAGTATACAAAGCAATAATGTGGACCCCGCTACTTCCATTAAACATATTTGTTGCATAGTGAGCTGCACCGATTGTACGAAACTGGAATGTTATTATACAGATGATGTAAGATCATCGCGGAAACAGCGCGGAATGGAAATTCGATCATTACAAGTGAATAAATCTCTGAACTCTCTCCGAGATAAACTCTCGCCGAGACTTACTTGCGCAATCGTGTCTGATGATCGACCAAGTTGGCTAACTTCTTGTCTATTTCTTGCTCGTCCCGCCACTCGTCGACGAAACTCTGCATCAGATCCATCAGAATTCTCAACTGTCCGCAAGCGTGCATCACAAAGACGATGACGAGACCGCACGCGGCCATCGACACAAGCAGCGCGATCATTCCGCCCATCGATTGAATCGCATACAATATCTCAAAAACGGGACTGGCGTGCGTGTTCAGCGAGAAGAGATAGGCCGGATACGGTAATTGTCGAAGTGTGTTGTTGTTCTCGTCGTAGAGTTTCTCTCTGGTCAGCGGCAGAATAGCCGCGAAACACATTCCGCTACTGTACAGAAATGCTGCACAGATCGCGACGAGTCGTCTGCCGATCTCCGCGGTTTCCAGCATCACGCCTCGCGCGCTTGAAGTGCCGATTGTCTTCCAGTCCTTTTCGAGATACTTCAGGCAGTGTCTCAGCTGATTCTGACGAAGAATCAAATTGCCGAATTTGCCTGAGACCACGACACCAAAGACAATCGATGGGAACATCCTGAGACGGACGCGCGTTTCTTTCTCCATCAGCCAGAAAAATACATTGGGTATTAAGGTACATGTAAGCATCACTTGCGAGACGACAAGCAACAGAAACTTTACAAATCTTTCGTAAGTCGTGTTCTTTATGCTGGAAGACGGCCAGACACCGAGCACGATCATAATCTGACGAGTTATACGCAACGCGTATTTGACATCGCTCTGACAGTTGTACGAGAGTTTTTGCATTTTCGAAATTACTTTGCAAAAACTTTGATTGCGAGAAGTTCGTTCTTCTCAATTTGATCGAGCAGAGTAACAGAACTGTACAAGAAGAAATTGTACCTAAGACTGACCGTTGAAGCCGCGAGCGCGTTGTCGAGGTAAACTCGCCGTCACAAGCTGCGCTTGCGCTCCGTTTGAATGCCAAATGAAGCAGAAGAATCGAAAGCGATAAAAAATTTGTAATAAAAACGTTGTTCGCTAAGAGTCGAGATTGTTTTTCTGCGGAAAAAAAAGTTTTTATTCGTCAGCTTGCCGGTTGGAAGATAATAGGCGCGCGTTTTTCTTTTACTTCTTACAATAAAACTAGCAGCGATCAAAACGTCGATCGGAAAATTATGGTTTTTTGTTGCGCACGTAATAATAATAAGTTTACTTTGTAGTGTAATCATAGATGATCAATACGGAAAGATTATTTTTTTAGCTGCGTTGAAAAACCAGCGAAGAGAGAAAGAATTTTATAACACAGACGCGTCTTTTGTTCGACATATTGTTACATATACTATTACTTTTTTAAACATCTGCGAAGTATATGACAGTAAAACGTAGATATTGATCAAAAGTAGAGAATTAGGAGCCATAAAAAATCGTATGCTGTTGTTAAATGTACTTTTGTTAAATGTACTTTTAATGATATTAAATACATATCTTCATTATTTCAAATAAAACAAGAAAGAATTCTATTAGAAATAGAAATTCGGGAATTATATAACTATAATTTTCAAAATATTGCATTTTTTATGATCTTAGTCGTTATCTTCAAGTGTATATACATACCTATTATATCATTTTCAGTGTACATTTCAATTCAGAGACACAAAGTGACAGGTGTGTAAAAATGCTTTTATTTATTTATTTTTTTGTAAAGAGAAAATATGTTTCTATGAAAAATATTTACTTTTAATATTAAATATGTAAATTAAAATTACAGCAAGCGTTACGTCTAATTAAAAACCAATGATTAAAGATTTACATATTTTTATTTATTTATTGAATCACGCCAAGCTTTTGCTTCTGCTTTTGCTTTGTCTTGCCAATGCTTCTCGATGACGTTCTTCATCACATTTATCAAAAGTTTCTTTGATCACGAGCGTATCTTAGAAACATGTAGACGCAACAAATAATGCCTGTACCATTTTATATTTCACTGTTTATTCGCAAAACTTGCTCGTGGAAATGTTTCTTTTTTTCTGAATGAATCATGCGATACTCTTCATAAGAAACATAATGCTCTGATAATGATACCACAACGCGAACGGAATTGTGATCGATCGGAAAAACCGGCACTGCCATCAAAGTAACTTTGATGTGAAACTACCCTAGCATAGATTTGCGTGATAGAGAAAAACAAACAAAAGCACTGAACATTGCAAATATAATGTCATTGCTCTTCTAGAGTTGCTGTCATTCTTCACGAGGAAAAAAACAATTGCGCTAACTTTTCCTTTCTTGCAGCGATATTGTACGGATAGCCATGTTATTTGTATATTGAAAAGATTGTCTATGTCACGTGGTTAAGAATATATACTGTCTACTGTGTGAGCATATAATATCGATTTTTGAATGTATATTATATTGCTTATATCTGCTCTGACGCCGTATGACATATTAAAATTCGCATGTAATAACACATAAATAGAGAAATAAAAATTTCTTTTTACAAACCTGCTACATTAATATTTCTCTATTGAAAATATATGAAATATATCGTATAGTATATTGTTTAATATGACAAATCACTAAAATATCTTATTGCAATAATATTTGATATTTGATGCTTTCGGATTGTGTTTTATTAACATTCCAAGATGTTCTTGACACTCTGATAAAGTGAGCTAAAATGTTCACAAAACGTCGATATAAAAATGACACTAAAGCAGTTCAAATCCGAAAAACATCTTTGAATGAAATAATATTTTTTCTTACGTGTTGAAACAGTCAAATAATCTTTAAGTTATAGCTCTGAACATGTTGAAATAAGCTACTGCTGTTTTTATCATCTAAAACAAAACAGAGATATCACATAACTTACTTATCGACGCACACTTTATTTAAAATTTATTTATATCATATATCAATATACGTAGTAGAATGTGTGTGTGTGCGTGTCAGAGCAAAATATGTTTTCTTACGTCGCCATACATCTTCATTGATAGATCGAAAACACCTCCGGGAGTGATCTTAAGAGGCGCGGTAGATATCAGCATTAGCAGCACCACTACGCGCGCTTTCTTCATCGGCAGACGATACCAATCAAGCTCGCACGCCGTGATAGCTAGCCTGTCCGACTATTATTATTATGATATTTTTTATATGAAGTTATATAGAGAAGAAAAGAGAAATTATGTGCGAAATTAGTTGGTAATATTTTCTGTTTCAAAGTTGCACATTTTTCTGTTTTGTTATTTTAAAAAGAACCGACTCTCATTTTGCTTTTGTATGTTCAAACGGTAGTCTCAAAAATTGAGTAAAATACACTTAAAAATTGTGCCATTTCTAAACAGATGTAAGTGACAACAACGTGCGCTACTTTAAAACTAAAGAAAAGAATACTTCTCTGATGAGCAGGTCTCCCACGTAACAAAAGACGAATGTGTCTGTTGCCACACTCATAAGTAATATAAAATAAATGGACAAGCTTAGGGCACTGCTCGTTTCATATTCCTGCAAAATTATGAATACTACTTATCATATTTATACACAATACGTTGTATTATTGTTGCTTTGCGACACACTTTGTTCTTGATTTTTTTACAGTGTCCACACTTTTTCAAATAAAATAAAAGTTCTTGCGCATAAATATCTGTATGTTATAAGAACATGTTTCACACTGTTTATTTAATTTGAGAAAAATAAAACTACACACTGTTATCAAACAATACATGCTTATGCAAAGCATTACGGTTCCGAATCCTATTTCTGCCAGTAACATAAATCCCATTGATGAATTCACTATTTTTACGTATCTGAAATATCAGTATAATTATATCAGATTACCAAGTATAGTTGTACAAGAACGAATACAGTTAAATCAAATCAGAAAAGATGAGTCTAACTTCTCTTTATTGGCTTACCTGCGTATTCTTACTTGATACTCAACAAGAATGGCCAAATTCTTCGTCAAATCCGTTTCATTTTGCCACTGCTTTCTTACGAGAGACGACATAAGACTTACCAAAATTTTCATCTGGCTACACCCGTGCATTATGAAAGCCAATGTTATACCGCATGCAGCTATAGTTATCGATAATAGTACTATGCCGTATACACAATAAATTATGTACAATATTTCATAGGTAGGAGTAGCTTGAGTATTGACAGAAAATAAATATATTGGATACGATAATGGTCTTATCGAAATATTCAATGCGATGGCAAGTCTTCGAATGTGTATTGGTAGAATCACTCGTTGGGCTACACCAGAAGAATAAATGCAGATTCCATTCCAGATAGTAAAACGTCTGGTCACATTTGCATATCTGATCATCAGACTTCGCGCTTCTTTAAACTTTATCCAATCATCTTCGATATACGACAGACAGCATTTGATCTGAGATTGTCTAAGTAACAGATTACTGTATTTTATCAAAACCACGGAAGAAGTCATTACCAATATCGACTTTTTTAAGCGGTTGTGCGTGTTCTTCTCTATTAATATTAGGTTCAACGATGTTCCTATCATGACGAAACAACATAGAAAGTACGTAAAAAGAATAATGAACACTTTGTAAATTGTTCGATTCATTAATTTGTCGCTGTTAGTAGTCGGCCAGACACCAAATATGCGCAAAACTGTTTTCGTGTACATCATTATATACGAAATATAGCTCAGTTCTTCTTCCGTGTCTAAGTTTGTCTCGCGAAATTGCTTGCGATATTTTTCCTTTAACTTTGTGTAAAACTTCACGATCATGATGTATTCGAAACTAACGTTGAATTGTAAGTGAAACTGTTCTTGTCTTGAGGGGATATGAATTCAAGCTGCGCACGCACAATCGGAGCTATTTTTGTTACATAAAGAAGATGAATTACCGCATGAAGTTTTCATGAGCATGTAATTGGTAAATTGCTAAGAATCGAGAAAACTTTCTGAAAACGTTATCTCTAAGTTATTCTTTTATGTGTAGGAAACAGATGAGTAGAAAACAGATTGTGTTTACTTACGCTTTTGTTTCGAACAAAAAAAGACTACATAGAGATAAATGTTAGTTGAAATGTTAGTTGAAAAACTAAGAAAATTATATATTTATCGTTTCAAGAGTAAAGCGCTTTTAATAGTACACGTAGAAATAAAACATGTTGAAGAAAATTTAAGTCAAGAAAACAAAGAAGATCTTTGTATGGATGGAGAAAATAAAAAACTAAAGAATGATCGCGGGAAAAATAAAAAAAGAAAAGAAATAAATTCAAAACTAAATTTCTTAAATAAATTACTTTAAAGTATTGTGACATTTAAAAAACATCAAATTTGTAAGTTTTTCTGAGAGAGTATAGTTGTTTTACGTCGTTTAATGTCTTCAATGATAGATCGAGAACATTTTCAAGAGTAATGACAAATAAATAAAGAATGCGAAAGTAAAAATTAGCATAAATGAAAAAAATAAAAATATTCTGGGGAGAACGCAAAAAAGAAAGAGGAAGAAGCAGTCGAAAATACTAAAGAAAAAGAAACTCAACAGAAGTTAAAACACTCGTCTCTAACATAATTCGATGACCACCACCCTCAAAAGAAGTTTTATACTTTAAGTTTCACTCATTTAGAAAATGCTTTGTAAAAGTACACGATATCAATAAAATATTTCGTAGTCACAGTATTCTCTATGTGACTATGATGTTTATGTGATAATTTCAGAACTAAATGAAAAAAAATTTTTTATACATATAAATACATATTAGACAGTACTGTCGGTCATGTACCAGATACGGTCAGTAGTGTTAAAGAAAAGAAATATTATACCTTGATGAGA